GAAAGGCATTACCTGGTTGTTTAACCCACCAGCCAGGTCACATTTTGGTGGCATCTGGGAAAGACAGAATCGTTCTGTGAGGAAAATTCTTACCCAGATTTTGAAACAGCAACCATTTGGTGATGAACACCTCCAGAAAGTTGTTTTGTGAAGTTGAGGCTATTGTCAGTGGTAGGCCAATAACAAGGGTCTACTGGTACCAATAGTTTTGTGCGAGCAAAAGAAATCATTCAGGAGCACGCTGTGCGAGTACAGATTTCAACCAGCAGCAGAAACAAAAGGCGAATCCTGCCGGTTGTGGGTTGAACGGGGGTCACAGACAGTTCATCCGATGAACTCAGCTAAGCATGCCAGGCGACCCAACTACAAAAGCCAGTGGACTAAAGACATCCTTTGTGTCTAATAGTAGAGCAGTAGGCCCAATGTAGCCCTGTGTGTGTGTGCTGGGCCCTTACCACACATGATGGAGGAGAGGGTGGCTCCAGAGGAGCCTTTGTATCTTGTTGTTTTCCTATTAAATGTGTTATTTAAAATTTTCACTGTGCTCCTAAATTTCTTTCTGTGCTCCTTAATTTTTTCAGTTAGGAGCACATGTGCTCCTAGTGAAAAAGCTTAGCGTAGAGCCCTGGTTAACAGAAAAGACTGGTGTGGGGTCCCTTCATTTTTACTGCAAGTGGTTATAATTACATGTCACTTATTGATGCAGTTTTTGAAGTAGGAATTATTCCACTGAAATATCACTGATGTATTGTAGAAAAGTGATTTATCTTTTTATAAATGACAATAGGTACATCTGCCTAATTTTTGCTGTGGTATTGTTAAACTACTCAGAACTGTGATACTTTCACTGGTATCGTACCGTGGGTCCCAATTTTGGCACTGTGACAACACTACTCACACCTAACCATCTACTTCTCCTTAAAAGACAACCAGTACTACCACCTGGAGTGTTTCAAAAAGAGGATTTGTATGCCAAGAGGAGGTGGAAACAGATGCAGTACCTGTCTGATATCTTTTGGAAGCGTTGGACTAAGGAGTATTTACCGCTTCTACAAGAGAGACAGAAGTGGTCAGTGACCAGGAGAAATCTGAAACCTGGAGATGTCGTCCTCATAGTTGATGACAGTGCACCAAGAGGCTCCTGGTTGATGGGAAAAGTTGAAAGTACACAAAGGCTCAAAGGGACTTGTCAGACGTGTTTTTGTTAAAACTAAAACTAATGTTTTGGAAAGGCCAATAGATAAATTGTGTCTGTTACTTGAAATGGATGAGTAAGAGTAGATATTCATATTTCACATGCAATGTGTGATTTACTTTGGCTTAAAGCATGGGATTTATGCCACATGTTTAATTTGAGTAAACTCTGAATTCAGTTAAATGTGGATTTGAAAGTTAAGACATTAAGATAACTTTAGGTTTAAATACGTCAGAGTCATACAGTAAGTCCTGAGTTCGGAATAAAATGATGCTTTAATGTGCTATGTAATTGTTATGTGTCACCAGTAACAATTAAGGGCTGGAATGTAAGTGTCATTTGTCAGTGATGAGTTTATTTTATTGTTAAATGGTATGACTTGTTGTTATACAGAGAGAAATATGTTTTATTGTAATGTTGAAGAGGTTGGTAAACATGTATGGTTACTTAATTCCTATATATTTGACTTCTGGGAATCTTTATGTTGGTCCTGTGCGGCTACCGTACATATGCAATGAACAGGAAGTGAACCCTTGTTTTGTAAAATATGTGTTTTGAAGAAAATAAATGAGATCGGCGGAGCAGCACAGTTGTTCTACCGTTAGGTTGTTGCCGTTGCCGCCAAGCTGACTCAATGCGTAGAAGTCGTCTCCTGTCGTCTCGCCGTGATTTTGGGGACGCTACACTGCATAGTACTGACATTATTGATTAATTTTGTTACATCTCTTTTCGGTGTTGCACTTTGTAGACGGCCCCTGCGCATTCGTTTCATAGTCGGTTGTGCATAGAGATCAATGTTATTGGCCGAGCTCAAAAGAAGGCTTGTTCTGATGAAATTAACATTGTAGCTTGTTGTCTACCTTACCAAGGTAAGAAAGTAGTGTCGGATGTGCTTCATACGACACTCCAGACACATCCAAACGGGGTCTAATCACCTCCTTACGCAACAGCCTCTGAATTGTAACTGTGCCCCAATGTCCATGCTTCATTCACAAAAGGACATGCCATATTTCTCCTTCCTGCTACACGCTCAGCCTCAGGCTTAGATGAAGCAAACCTGTGAGCCAGCAGGTTTGCTTCACGGAGTAAGTTGCCATAGTAACTGACTCAGGGTTTCGCTGAACTGGCTTTGTGAAACGGAAAACTCAAGAGTTTCCCTCATCTCAGGCTCAACATACTCAGAGTTTTCACTAATCTTGCTTTCTGAAATAGGGCCCTGGTACTGCAACTGCGACTTTATTCACAACATAAACAAATCAGCACTCCACAGCTCAGATAAATATATTCCCTATGAGAGGCGCTAGACTGTGCTCTGGTGAATATATCATAACCACCATACCCACCAGACTGTTACTCTTTTCTGCTCCTGAATTTTACACTGGAAAAATACCAGCTGTACTGGAAACAGTGTTTCCCATTAATTAACGAAACTATGGCGACCCGCCATAGTTTCTAAATAAAAGATTTAGGCTGCCGAAAGTATTGACTTCTCATGATATAAATAATATCTCGAACGCCGTAGCGTTTTGTGCCGATGTGCTCAGGCTGTCAGATCCAGCGCTCAACAGTGCGAGCGTTTCACTCGACTAAAAATACGTGTGTGCAAACTGTAAAAAATATTTAGGGGCACATGTACGCATAAAAAAAATCAGCCGAAGCAGCCTATATTTTTGTCAATAAAAAAATATGATAATCTAACCGCAAATGTTGGAGGAACTCCAGCCGCCTTCCCTCTTCCCTCTTCCCCGTGTGACACGGTTATGGGTGGTTTTCCAAGCCACTGTCGGCACAATGAATATAAGTCCCACTGTCGGCTGGGTGGAAATAGGTCAAAGGGCTCTAGTTTCCCGGCGCAGCGCAGGGTGGTGCAGGGTGGCGAACCCCGTGCAGAGCTAGTTTCGAGCAGCGCAACCCAAGGCGCGCTCAGTTTGGTAGTTTGGCAGACCGAGGTGCACTGAGATGGGTGTGGTGGCGCAGCAGGGGTAGGTGTCGACAGATCCAGCTTGGTGCAGTGACAGTTTCATGCCAAAAGGCTTCACCGAAGGTGCGCTAAAAGTTCGCCAACTGAAACCAGGTCTACTGTCAGCGCAGGGGGAGCGCAGCCGGTGTAAGCCAAAGTTTGGCCTGGCAGCGCAGTTAGGAGACCGGATGGCAGCGTGAGACCGCGAGACCACTGTGAGATTTTGAGATTCAACATGGCGGCGCCTAGCTGCTAGATTAGATA